CAAGAAACAAAAACATTATTGTCAGGTGGGGTCCCAGGGGCAATTACATCAAACACCAACTCCTGTATTGTGATAATTTCCTCCACAGGTGGAGCAGATGTGTCCAGAGCAGTGAGGTTAAACACATCCTTATGCATTTGAGCTATATATTTCAAGTTAGGGTGGAGCTTGTAATATTTTTCAAGGGTATGCTCAAACATCCTACAGTGCGTACAATAAAAAGGTCTATGTTTCATGACTATTTGTTGCCAATATACATTATGTGTTGTGCCCAGCCAAACTTTTGTAATATCAGGTAAAGTGATATCTCTTTCCACAAGTATTTTGGTAACATAAGGTTTGGTTAGATTGAAGGTGGGTAAATCTAGCTTCATAGGATCCCCAAGTTGACCTCAATAGAGTAGAAAATCTGATGATTAAAAAGATGCAGCTTGAGATCGGATAAACTAAACCATACTGGTATGTTGGGAGATTCATTGTTTGTGTCAAAATCAGGAGACCACTGGAGTATTTTCATTGGCTTTCCTGTAATGTTAAAATATTTTTTAGAAAAATCTGAGCGCAGTCTTCAGTCATGATTAACTGAATCAACACATGTCTCCCATCAAGAAGTTTCACTTTCCACTTGCCTACTAGTTTGATATCATCAAAACTCTTTCTGATAATTTTCATAGGTGGGTGTCCCCACTGAAATTTTCCGATAAAAACGAACTTACATTTCTTAGTCAATGTTGAAATTTCTAAATCAGAGAAAAAATGTTGCTTTCCCAGTTTTTTTACTCGCCTTCTTAACTAAAGGGCAGTCACCTGTACCATCAAGACATTTCTTATAACTTGACGGGAAGACAACAGCCGACTCCTTCAAATGGTTATCGAGCACATGGGCGAAAGAGGCCTTGCAACAGCCCCCCACGACGAAAAAGAGAAAGAGAACCGCTCCAATGGAAGCAGACAAACGCGAACGAGAAGCTGTCGAAGTTGAAGACGCACGACACCTTAGAAGCCGAGCCCGACAAATGCGAGCCCTTCTTGGGACGACGAAGCACGAGCAACTGAAGATGACACACGGTGACAACGGTGAATCAGACGGAAGATACAAAAATGACGAACGACGAGCAAAGCGTGATTGACGAAAAGATGCAATGGAGCAGAAAACAGGGTTCACCATAAAGGCTAAACCCTAGCAGAGCGTGATCGACGAAGACATTTACTACTGCAATCACTGTAAATTGTTTGGGCACACCCCTGTCAAATGTTTCAGACTTCACCCACATTTGAGATCGACAGATCCTAACAACATCATACATGTAGAGGAAAATATAACACACTCCTAATCTTCCAGAAATGTTAAATGAGAATTTGACTCATAAGGTTACTCCTCACCTACTAGACCAGCAACTTACGTCTACTGTTGTTGAGGCAGCTTTTTCTCAGATTACAAATTCTTTGAATTGTGTTGTAGCAGTTGCTATACGAAGTGTCTTGGATCCACCTATTGCGACAGAAGAGGGCACTCATGTTATGGAGGAGTGTTAGGATCAAGGTGTGCTGCACGCTGAGTCAGATTAGCAGTTTACCTCCATAAAAGATCCACCTATTATTCACACGAGAGTACCTCTAACAGATGATTAACAATTCTAAAAATCTAGAAAAAAGAAGAAAGTAATGTCAGATCTCAATAACTCTCAGGATGACTGTATCATTGTTTCAGGCGGAAGCCCACATCTCAGTATGTTGTTGGACTCCCTCCCTAGATCCAGAGGAAGGGGAAGCAATACTTCCACATGATTAGGAGTTGTTTCTTTTTGTTTTATTTTTGGGGAATATGTTTGTAACCCCTGTGAGTGATATTTTTGTACTCACTCACTAAAACCTTTGTATCTTCCTTTTTTATGAATGAATTTTTCCTTTTATATATATATATATATATGACCTTTTTGCTTCGTCGGCTCGCGCCCGCCTCGTCGGCGTCTGCTCGACGTTCGTCTGCTTCTGCTCGACGAGTCTCTCTACTCGACTAGTCTGCTCGGCGTCGCTCGCTCAGGGTTCGTCTGATCGACGAGTCTCGAAGCTTTGTGTTTATGTTCTGCTCGTGAAGCTTCTCACTGTTCCTGCCGCAACAACTTTGCTGTAGCTTAACTTCGACAACTCTCCTTGCTCTGAAGGCGCCTCTTTCTTGTTTGGTTGAGCCGGACAAAGTCTCCTTTGCTCACGTGGTGGATAACCCTCAGGTAGAGTCCGCAGTGAGATTCCCCTCAAGTTATAAGGAATCTCGAGAGGGTACAGATGATTGTCCTTTTATTAAAAAGGTAAGCAGTAAAGGAGGAAAAGATGCAATCTTTTTCTCTGAAACAAAAATTTCTACCATGACGGAAAAATTCAAGTTTGCTCTTCTTGAAAAATTTCAGTGGGGACACCCTCCTATGGATGTTATCAGAAAGAGT